ATTGCCAGGCAATACTGGATTCGCGCAGGGGATGAGTATGTTATCTGAGCTCCGGGAGATGATGTTTCTCTTTAAGGAAGGAAGATGGAACTCAAAAGCAAAGGCCTCACCAACAGAGTCCTTGGAGGGATATAGGAGGTGATTTGACTATCCACAATGGAAAATATCAGCTTTGGGTCGACTGATCCTTTAACCACTTGCCATCCGCCCGTAGTAAAAAAACGGACGGACGGCACTGCAGCATTTGCGGGTTGCCGTCTCCAGACGGCAATTTTTTTCTGCTCGCGCGCGCCCCCTAGAGATGGAGTCAGAAACTTTGCAGCATCACTTGCTGGGCTGCTAATTTTCACCATTGCAAACTGTCACGGGATACTCTGTAACTGGATATAGGAGTTGGGTTTGGCGACAGGAAAAAAAGGACATTTAGTGATTCATTAATTCCACAAGGACTGTGACGCCTTGCGATATACAAAAGCAGAGGCTGCTGTGATTAGAGACTCATGGTAGTCATATTGTGGAATAAGAAAAGCAATATTATGTGACGATAACCTTACATTATATGGGTACTAATACTTATCCTGACTGGAGCCTTCCATTAAAGTTATCTTATGACCTAAAAACTGGCAAGCTTACCGCTACTGTTAATGCAGACATCCTGTGGTGCCTCAAGTATTGTGTCCATGTAAAGCCCCTGTCATTCCAGGCCCAGACTGTATACTGGGCCTCACCTTCTGTACAAGTCCCACCTTCTGCAATCCAATAGTTCAGGGGTAGGCAAACTTCAGCCCTCCAGCTACTGTATTACTACAAATACCATTAGGCAGTGCAAAACTCGCCACAGGCATGACTTCCAGAGGCAGATGCATGATTGGATTTATAGTTTCACCAAAGCTGGCTGAAGTTTGGCTATCCCCTGCAATGGTCCAATGTCATAGCTCAAGTGGCCAGTAGATGCCCTGACACTTTACAGATGATAAACATGGCCGAGTCCTATGACACACTAGCGATCCTGTTAATGGAGGCAGGATTGCTAAATAAAGCGATCGCCTATTTCTACAGCATTGAGCACTGACCAAAACCATTCAGAATCTCCCTCGCCAGCAAGGGAGCAGCAGCAGAGTAACACCTTACCGGTTCAACCGGCGTAGGAAAGATGGCTGAGAAGCGATTGGCTTATTTTCTCGTCTAACTATCCTATTGGCCTGCGTCCACAAGCTTTTGGCTTGTGTCGGTGGCATTAGTTTAAGTCTAAGACGCTCCTGAGATTATTCAAAATTCATTGACAGGTACATTCAACCTGCGATTGACCTCCTACTGACCTGCGTCAAGTGGGTTTTCCACCACTACAGACTTATGCAAAAACTGCCTGAAGCGACCAATAGCCTGTTTTCACGGGACCCTGTTGCTGGTGAGCCGCCATAAGTGACCGGACTGCTAGTGTGTCATAGGCCATAGAGCTAAGTTGAAGCTTAGGCCCTGAGTACAGCTTAAAAGAGAACTATGGGGTAACCTTTTTAGCCCATAGTTCTCTTAAGGGTCACGGGAGGACATATGCTAACGTCCTCCCGTGACCCAAAGCTCATTATATAGCGAGCTACGGCTTGCTATATACAGAGAGCGCCGCAGCCGGGATGGATCCCGACAATACTGTTGAGATCCACCCAGCTGCCTGATAGGCAGAGCCCGCTGTACCCGCCGCTTCCCCCGCCCGTTCCTCCAGTCAGCACTGGATGATAGGAGAGGGGGGGAATCCCTAAGGGGAGCGGTGACTGACAGTCACGGCTCTCTGCAGGGAGATGATTGGAAAGTGAGTGAGCGATGGTATGTGTTCGCTCACTCCCCGATCAATAGAGCCGACCTGTGACAGTTTGTCACAGGTCGGCTCTAACTATGAGGATGAGTGAAAAATCACTCACCTCATAGTTCTCCTTTAAGCCTGGAATCGAGGGGCTCAAGATGGACTATTTTGAAGATCACAGGTATCGTCAAGTACCTTAAGACGTCTACGCTTCAACAGTATTGTTAGCGCTGCCAGTATTTAGCACCCGGCAGGTCCAATTTAAGGCAACGTCTTCACATTTAATAAATAGGTTTTTGAAGAAAAAAAATAAATAAAAAGAACCTTCCTTTAAAAAAAAAAAAAAATATGCAGTCTGGATGTCCCCATCTCAGACCCAAGTCTGTTATCAAGTTTGTGAGAATAGCCAAGAAGGCGTTTCTGCATTATTTTTTTTATCTTAAACCCTTATCTATCTAAATTAGAACTTTAAGGCCTGGTTCACACCTGTACGTTTTGTAGCGCGTTCAACGCTCTACAAAACGCTCAAACATGAAAATCCCATTGTTTTCTATGGGTATGGTTCACACCTTGCCGTATTTCAGCCTGTCTGAACGCGCTACAAAACGGCCTACGCCTGAAAAGGTACATGAGCTTCTTTGCGGCTTTTTTGTGGGTAGAAACGCGCGACAAACGCGCATATTCGATACGTCTAGGTGTGAACAGAGCCTTAAGTGCATCGCTACGAAACATTGCACATCAGCCAGGAAACTGGACAAAGATTGACATGACTAGACCTACATCACCTCCAAGCTTTCTTCATAAACAAGCATAGGCTGAAAACTCTGCAAATCATTATTTACAGACACAAGTCAAGGGAAAGCAGACAGATACAATTAAACAAAACAAACTTTATGCTGTTCTGAGCATAAATACAAACTCATTTCCCTTGATATAGCATATATTGTGCTGATACAGCTGTTCATTCCCCCCAACACACCGCCAATGTTCCAAGGTCAGCGTCAGGGATGACATTAACCACAGGAAGTAGAAGATAACAATCATAGCAGCCCTTCACACCCAACCAGTTATGTTTTTCTCATTCGGCTTCCGTTTCAGTACATTCTCCTAAGTGATGCAACAGGTAGAGAACCTTCCTCGTTACACAAAAGGCTTTTTTGGTCAGTTCTAAGGAAGAAATATTGGTCAACAAAGAGGAAGGATATGCAAAAAAGAAAACAATGTGGCTACTTTTCATTGTAACATGTCTTCTTCACAAAGAAAAAAACACAATGATAAACTCTGCAAACTTACTTGGTCAAGTATCATATCATAAACCAGTGCTGGATAAACCCCAGGAGCTGGGTAGTCAATGCTCCTGGAAAATTACACCTGGTGTCTAACTTCTGAGGTTTCCTCTAGTTCTTGTCAATGGAGTTGCCTCCTGAATTGGGCCGACTGGCTCCCAAATCTCATATTAAATTTGTCCACCCCGTTTATCAAGACAAATACATGTATGGGTCTGATGTATTATATGATCGTATCTAAAAAGGAGCACAAGTATCAGCCATTGTAAGACAGGTCTGAAGATAGCAAGTAGATGTTTACCCTGTTCTGTCGAAATGGCCAACTCGTCAAGATCTCCAACTGATGTTTTCACATCCGTTGGAGACTTCGAGGAGATGGCGCTAGTGCGCATGCCCCAGCCTTTGCCTTTTTACAAGCCTCATTGCCTTCCCCATTTGCCAACAGTACGCCTGTGCGGCCTTTGCAATCCTCATCGAGTTCTCCAACTGGCGTTAGTGCTTGCAACTGGCGTTAGTGCTTGCAACTGGCGTTAGTGCTTGCAACTGGCGTTAGTGCTTGCAACTGGCGTTAGTGCTTGCGCCATGGGGTGCCCACGCAGGCGCACTAACGCAAATTAGTGAACATAATCCTGCTCTTGGTTGGCCGCGCAGGCGCAGTGACGAAAGTTGGAATCTCGACAAGTTGGACATCTCGGTAGAACAACCCCATCTCGAAGATACTTAGCTTCCTCAAGTACTGTGGGTTAAACAATTGCCATTATTATTATTTTTTTCCTTTTAGCAAATACTACTTGACCTTTTTTTCATAATACTACTGCTAATCTCCTGCAACTTCTATGCAGCCACTTACTGTGTAAACATGCAATGTGCTCCAGGTTCAGCTGCATTGCCTAGAATTGGTTTGCAGATGGTGATAACAGGGTGACAACGCAAAAGAAAATCTGGAAGCTATAGAAAAGCATGTTGTCACCCTGCAACAGGAAATGCCTGAACAATGGTCTTCTTGTCAGCCTCGCTAGGTGTTAAATAAAAGCCACTTATTTTAAAAGCTGAAAATGACTTTGGAAATTACATTAACGTGTTTAAGCTTCTAAGAGAATTTTGTGCTTGTGTTTATATCTACTTTAATACAGGGGGCTCATTCAGTTTTGTTTACCAGAAAACTTATATTCATTCCACTGAACGGCACCAGTTACAAAAGCACAATGGTTTTCAGTGCAGCTGCTGAAGTCACATTCCGGCAACATGTCAGATGAAATCCTGCATTCTTCACATTTATGAAGAGTTCATTCATCAGTGAACAAGTAGAGAATTATACTCCCACACAGCAGGTGAGCTCCTTTACATATTTATTTATACACACATTTTATATGATAGATACATACATATACACACAGTGTGTATGTATGTATGTACAGGTGAAACTCGATTAGAATATCGTGCAAAGTTCATTTATTTCACTAATGCAACTTAAAAAGGTGAAACTAATATATGAGAGAGACTCATTACATGCAAAGCAAGATAGTTCAAGCCGTGATTTGTCATAATTGTGATGATTATGGCTTACAGCTCATGAAAACCCCAAGAACCCCAAATCCACAACCTCAAAAAAGTAGATTATTACATGCAATCAATAAAACAAGGATTGTACATAGAACAATATCGGACCTCTGAAAAGTACAAGCATGCATATGTACTCAGTACTTGGTTTGGGCCCCTTTTGCAGCACTTACTGCAATTACTTTTGCACGATATTCTAATTATTCGAGTTTCACCTGTATGTTATATATGTACACACAGACTATTAGGGATGCACCAATACCGTTGTTCTCGGTATAGAGTACCAATATTTTTTTTTCCGGTACTCGCCGGGACCAGCATCCGTGGGCCCGGATTATCAGTAAGCCAGGCAACGAGTCATGACCTGCCGCCCGGCTTCCCGATTGCCTGGGAAGCCAGAGTTCTATAGAAAGAACACAGGCTTCACTTCATTTGCAACACTGCAAAGCAGCCTGGCTTTCTGACCAATCAGGAAGCCTGGAGGCCGGTCATGACATGCCACCTGGCTTCCTTATTGGCTAGGAAGCCGGCTTCACATATTGCTAAGTACCCTGGCTTCGCAATTGGCGGGGAAGCCGGCTCCATGCCCCTTCGCGCCACTGCAATCTGCCTCTGAACCGAAGTTCTGGTATTGGGGGTGAGTATCGAAACATTTGGGCACGTAAGAGTACTCGCCTAAATACTCGGTATCGATGCATTCCTAAAATATACATACATACACACACACTCTTATAAACACACAAATATATTGTCATGTTTAGCGCTGGCGTAGATAAGCGCTAGAAGAGCAAAGGGCATGACGGCTTACCGCCTGCAGAGATTTTTGAACGTAAATATACTGCACCTTGCACATGGCCGCACAAAGTATATCCCGCCGTTTTTCTCTGGATGGAGTGACAGGTGCACCGTACAGCAGCCTGTACAAATCAATGGCAGGCTGGTTAAAGCTACAGCTGTACACAGGTACGTACGTAAATCCCACTATTTTCATGCATACAGAGACTTACACACTGCCCTGAACGCAGAGGGCCTGAGTTAGAGCAGCTTGTAAATCCAGGTATGCATGTAAACAATAGGATTTGTGTACATAGCTGAACATCTCCAGCCAACCAGCCTGCCATTGATTTGTGCAGTTTGGCTATATGCTGAAGTACGATGCACCTGTCACACCCAGCCAGAGAAATACGCCAAGATAGGGTGCATTCGCATCAAAATTGGAAGGTACTCGCAAGTCAACGGAGGGTCCGCTAAATTGCCATTGTATGTTCAGATTCATTGCGTTCCGTCGTGTTTTTTTTTCTTTTTTTGGCAAGCTTTATGTGAAGTAACATGTCCTAAGTGGACATACTTCACTGTAACGGCTTGTCATGTGTTGCGTTAGAACATGTTTTTGACATATTCCACTGAAGAAAAAAAAAGTAGCGCATGCTCTATTTTATTCAGCGCAACGTACAGCAACACAGCACAGTGCTGCAGTGTGAAATGTCCTCTTTCACATTCTAATTTTTCGCTGCCCTCGTGTTACCAGCCATTCAAAAACAGATAGTACCGCAATGGATCCAGTGTGATAGAGGCCATACTCTGTACAGCAATGTGCAATAGGCCTAAAAAATAAGAGACGTTCCCTAACTTACTAATTAGAGTAGAACTCCACTCCACTGTCCGAATACAATAGTGCAGCGAGGCAGATTCTCCCATCCATGTTTTTTCTCGTTCATTGTATGGCCAGAAGCAGCTGGTTGACATTTTCTTTTCTTTGAGACAGAATCGCTATAAATTACCATAGTAAAAGATCCGGGGCACTTCAAACCAGGTAAAGAGAGCATGAAATGTTAATGGAGACGTTTACTGCTCTTATGTAAAACTTCCTTTATCATTCACAAGAAGCCGTTTACAAAGGCAATTTAATTGCACCAAAACTACTCCCAGCGATCAGACAACTTGTGCAGCTTTACATTTGTATACAACCTCCCCTTGCACAATAATTACCTTTTTGTTAACACCTCCGTATCACCAATGTGTACAGACAGGTTCTGCCAAATCACTGAATACAATCAGAAACTTCCCTTTCTTGCAGCCCCGATTGTTCAGTACATGTTATTCACCTCCTAAGTGAGTGAACAGGTTCTGCCACCCAAGTGACACTTTAGAGGGCTCATTGTAATTAGCATGGAATGTATACATAGCCAAGGGGGTGGGATGGCTTATTTCAAAATGATGTTTGGGAGGGACGTGCTGACTTTGCTACACTGACCCAACAATGGGTAAGGCGATTGTAGAGGTGTACATGAACTTGTAACAGCATAGTGGAGTACAGTATGAGATACTTTTTATTCATGCTACTTGTACACACGGACTTTTACAAAGCATCTCCAAAGCTTTCTGCCAGCTTCAAACAGCTGATTTGAACCCTTTCTCTGCCACTGATGTAAGGCTTACAGCGCAACACAACTATTTCCAGCTGGCCACGCCAATTCTTACGCGTTCTGCGACAAGCTCAACAGTACCGTCCCCAGTTATGAATGAATGAACAGGAAGTGCTTTACATCACTTCCTATTCATTTATGAGTTTCTAAATGGATAGTAGCTCACCACAGAGGCTTCTACCCATTCATAACTGGATGATAGTAAAATATCTACTGAATGAATGGGAAGCCTCTGTACTGAGTGCTTTCCATTCATTTAGTGCTGAGGCTGCAGAAAGGACTAAGGACTCTGTGTCCTCATCTTCTTTTTCTATTTCAAAAAGGAAATGTCAGGGGTCTCTGAGGTTTTGTGCACGATTGCCGCACAGTCACGGATCACCATACCGTGTTTCCCCGAAAGTAAGACCTACCCCGAAAGTAAGACCTAGCGCTATCTTCAGGGATTTCTGTAATATAAGACCTACCCCGAAAATAAGACCTAGTTCGGTGGTAGGTCTTATATTACAGAAATCCACTAGGTCTTACTTTCGGGGTAGCTGCACATAAACTGAATTTTAAATGTAAAGACCGGCCGCAGTTCCTGGGACCGGCAACAGCACGCCGCCTTCCGGGACCTCGTCCAGTCCTCCTCTAGCCAGGTAAGACATCCCCCGTAAATAAGACCTAGTGTCTTTTTTTCATGCAAAAAAGTGTCTTATTTTCGGGGAAACACGGTAGTGTGAACCTGGCCTCAAGCTGCCTATACATGGAGTGAATTTTGGGCAATCCTGGATTAATCGGCCAAAATTCACTCAGAGGCTGGCCCTGTCTGTTCTTCGACTGAAAAACCGTTGACCGTACAGCACCTGCATCCAATTAGATACACAGGTATTTTGACAGCCGGCGGGGTGGTCAAAAACTTTTGAAGTTCTCTCTAGTTGTTGCCAATGGAGCTGGCTACTAAAAAAAATTTGATTGGACAGACTGGCTCCTGAATTCCATATTCGTCTACCCCTGATATGTACAGAGCATTAAAGTTGGTCCTAGTTACCATCAGCTTTGTATCAAAGTTGGTCGTAGTTACAATCAGCTTTGTATCAACAAACTTTTTGAATTGATCGCATTGTGAATATGGCACAAATAAAAACTACCTTGAACTGTCATACATGTTGAACTTCTAATAAAACTGTTGCAAGGCTTTCATGAATTGGGCACAGGATTGTTTTTGACAGAAAAAAAGTTGCAAATGCCTTACTTACTCCCCTGTACTATGTAATGACACAGAATGACCCCTGCGCACATCTTCCTTGGCTGACATTTTTTTGTACACTCCCCCAGTTCAGGAGAAGAGAGGCTAAACACAAGGTTGTTCGTGCAAAGGAAGACAAGTACATGATTGGCCACCTGTTATTGTGTCATGCTAGAAGGCGTCAGAAAGCAGAAAGAGGATCAAGCAGGAGTCTCTTTACGATCAGGAAATGCTAAAGTCCATACTGACTGCTCCTTCTAAAAATACTAGTAGTCTGGCTGTCATGCTGTCCTGGCAGTCCTCAATTCTTTCTGACTCAGTGACCCAAAACACATATGAGGAGTTTCAACGTCACTCTGAATTCCTTGGCTTCATGCTAGTCGAAGGTTAGAGACTCAATGCATTGCAGCCAGATGATCAGTATGAGTGTCAGACAGGTAGAATTTTTAGGATGATGACAGCACAGGTTTTCTTTCAGCCCATCTAGAAGCATATATGATCTGTAGATGGGGATTCCTCATAGATGATGTCTATCCCTGTCATCACTTTGGTGCATGTGACAAGCAGATGGATTATCTTCTATGGAGTTTCCCTGCCTGAGTAAGGGCTGTTCTACTGGAAACCTGCAGAGGAGGGTGGGGTGAGTAGTGTCTTTTGACACAAAGGTGCAGCTGTCCTTTAAAAGAAACACAAAGCCATAGTCAGGTCACTTCACTGACATCTGCAGCAATGCTTTCTCATGCTGTAGCTGGATGCAATGCTTCTCTATGCAGCTACAACTTGCTGGAGTGCCATGGTCATGGAAACTATAGAAGATGGCCACGCTGCAAAAGTCAAGCGACAGCTGAAACCACTGGAAGCTTGGCGATGGTGACCCTCTTCAGCAACTAAACTTTAATTTGTCTAGCAACATAGATGCCAAGAAGAGCATATTCCAAATGTGTCCACCCCTGACCTAGGACAAGAAAACTATCATAGAGAGGCACCGCTGCTGCAAACCAACAATTATGGGTGCGTGTTATAGTGTCTCCCAACCCCTTCCTGGGCCCAATGGTTTCTTCCACCAACCACTATGACACTGCAGGACAGTGTTACCAACCCAACCCTCCCCAGGCCCAATGGTTTCTTATACCAACCACTATGACACTGCAGGACAGTGTGACCCCCCCTTTCCAGGCTCAATGGTTTCTTCCACCAACCACTGTCACAGCAGGACACAGTTTAGCCCTATCTTGTTCTTTTTTTCCACAAGGTCGAATCAAAGTGACAAAGTGACAAAATCAAATCACCAGCAGCTTGTAAAAAGAACATAGTGGCTAATCACCTCTTCAGTGGGCAATCATCGCTGTCTAACAGTTACAGCTCCCACTGCAATCTAACACTTTAGGGAATGTAGTGTATACCCCCCACCACTGAGCACTGTGGTTCCTCCCACCAGCCACTAAATTACTAAAAGGACATAGTAGTGACATAGCAGGTTGCAGAAGGATCCACAGTGCTCAGAGGGGTACCAGGTATACAGCCTACACTAAGGCTGGGTTCACACCTAGGCGTATCGAATATGCGCGTTTGTCTCGCGTTTTTACAGCGATTCGCGGTAAAAAAAAGAGTACGACAAACGCGCATTTCCGAGGGCTACCTGGCAGTATCCCAACGGATACACGCGCCAAATACGCCCCAAAGAAGCTCCTGTACTTCTTTGGGCGTAGGGCATTTTGTAGCGCGTTCATATGGCCTGTAATACGCCCAGGTGTGAACCATACCCATAGGAAATAATGGGATTTCGGTGTTTGAGCGTTTTGCAGAGCGTAGGAACGCGCTACAAAACGCCCAGGTGTGAACCGGGTCTTATACCTCTGCAAAACAGCAAGGAATTCAACTCGCTGTCTGTCAGAATTGTGAATATTCAACATGCGTGTTCACATGCCAAACACCAAACTGACTGTGTTTTAGAGGACACTAGCAAAGCGTGACCCTTCCTATATATTCCAGTTATTAGGGATGCACCACTTTTTTAAGACCGAGTATGAGTACCGATACCTTTGATGAAGTACTCGCCAATACCAATTACCGATACTTTTTCTTAAAGGGACAGGTCACATTTTTTCTAAAGCAATACAAACTAATGCCTTAAGGTCACATTCTTAATATTATGATTCATGAGATGACAAGGGAGCATGGCGCCGGCTTCCCGGCCAATCAGAATGCCAGGCGCTGCGTCATTACACGGCGCCCGGACTTGCTAGCTTCCTGGCCAATCGGGAAGCCGGGCAGCGTGTCATTGCACGCTACCCGGCTTCCTGATTGGCCGGGAAGTCGGCTCCATGCTCTCTCATCACAAGTGACGAGAAAGCATGGAGCCGTTTCCTGGCCAATCAGGAAACCGGGCAGCGTGTAATGATGCGCTGCCCGGCTTCCTGATACAGGAAGTACTCGTGCTAGGTATCGGAGCATTTGGGCGAGTACGAGTACTCACCCAAATACTCGGTATCGGCACCGATACTAGTATCGGTGCATCACTACCAGTTATATTACTTGTTTCTATGTAATCCTGTAGAGCAATAGGCAAGAGTATTTTTAGCCAATTTGGATCAGGTGACATGCCTCGGTCTGTATGGAAGCAGGTCACTGTACCACATTCTTCACACAGTGACGACAGCAGACTTCTAAGGACATTTCCCATAGACGACGGGTGTGATGCATGACACTGCCAACATGATCTAAACTGCGCATCAATTTCATATATGAATCAATCCAATTTCAGAAATGACACCTTGTACATGACTAAAATGGAACAGGGGACCACTGGTGACTGTGGCACATTTAAAGCAGATCCACAACTAGGAAACGTTTGGATGATTTGCTTTCCTTCCCTACAGATGAAGTTCTCATCCATACCAACTATGGGATAAAAAGTGAGATTGCAGGACACACTGACGGGTAGGGGCATCAGATGAATTAGTCACTTGCCTGGTGGGATTGCATGTAAACAAATTGGGCAGCTGTCACACAAAGATCCATGGGTGGCTCTGTCGGCAACCCTCTGCTTGGCAAAAGCTATTTTTTTCAATTGACTTTTGGCGAAGTAGCCGGCCTGACAATTTTCAGCTGAACTGTGACTGCAGCCAATCAGATGCAGACACAGTGCAGGTATTCAGAAGTTGCTGAAGCAGCAGCTGGCGAATACTAGTGATGAGTCTAGTCTTGGAACAAACCCAGTTCACTTGAGTTTGCCCAAACCTGTTTAAAACTCTGACCGTCACCCCCTCCTTCTGGCCCAATCAGTTGTAGAGAGGAGCATTCCCCATCCCCACCCCGCAGCTATACATCACAAAGGATCGGGGAATGCCCCTGTCAAAATTTTGGCGAGGAGGGGGGGAGTGGCGGTCACAGTTTTGAGTGGATGAACTCAGTTTGAACAAAGCCCAGGTTCACCAGATTCAGGCATGTACTGTACCCTCTATGACTGTCTAATTAAGAACTGCATTTAATAAACGCATTTATTTCAGCATGAACTGAATAACACCCAGCAGAGTGCAGGCTGAATCCTTTATGAAGTCAACTTTATAGAGCTAAAGGACAATCTATAAGAAGGCCACAGAAGGCAAAGTAAAGCTGCAACCACTCAGGTCAAGCAGTACAGGACAAGCTGGAAATAAAGTGGGAATCCCATTAACCAGTTGACATCCGCGGTGTTAAACCCCCTTCCCATCCAGGCCATTTTTCAGTATTCAGACTGAAAATAAGCACTGGCCGTAGATGTGGGTGATGGGATTCCTATTCCGGTAGGAGGAGCCTATGTCTCTGATGCCGTCCTGGAAGGCGACTACAGGAAAAAAAAAATACTCATGTCCTGCCAGCAGACGTTTCATCATCTGACACTTCCGGGTGTGTCAACTGTAGGTCCAACGCAACATGATGTGATTCCATCCACCAGTCCCTATGTCAGCACTGTTTCCTGTGGGAGCTGGCTGTAAGAACCACACAGCGCAGTGCGGGGGAACAGAGCGGGCACCAGACACTCCTAGAAGTGTGCTAAGTGCTTAAAATGCTTCAGTTTCTTCACATCTTCAAGAGGATAAAGTCCAGTAGTCAGCTATTCTTTTCTCTACAGGCAGCACTTACATACTTATCAACCTTTTTATTCCATTACCAGAGTGACTTTAAAATAAGGTGGTTAAAGCAGAACTCCGGTTACACAAATATAGGCATTTTGTGCCTTCCCTTTCTGTTTCCCCGACAGCTGGCCCTACCAGAGTGAGGATGGGGCCCTCAATGTCCTTACGTAGAATGCAGAAAGCAGACATTGGTGAGGTGGAAGCCATACGACGAGCGAAGAGGAGCGGCTATGTGTGACTGGTCGTCCGGTGAGGAGGGAACCTGCACAAGTTAGGAATAAGGGAAATATGTTTGGCTATTTCACACCCCTTAGACCAGGGGTGGGAATCTCCGGCCCTCCACCTGTGCTATAACTACATATCTTAACATGCCTTTGCCTCTGGGAGTCATGCCTGTAACTGTCAGTCTGGCAATGCCTCATGGGACTTGTAGTCTCACAACAAATGGAGGGCCAGTATTACCCACCCGTGCCGTAGACTAAACAAGCATTTACCCCAAGGCTGCTTTGACCAGCCTTGGGTTAAATGCTTGTTTAATCTAGGACAGGGGTGAGTAATACTGGCCCTCCAGTTGTTGTGAGACTACAAGTCCTATGAGGCATTGCCAGACTGACAGTTACAGGCATGACTCCCAGAGGCAAAGCCAAATAGCTAATGATCCTTCAAAATGACAGCTGGCCCCTAACTTTTAAGGTTTTATCTAGTTGTTGTCAATGGTGCTGGCTCCTAAAAATTCTGTAGGTTCCTGGATTGGAGAGACAAGCCCCTGAATTCCATATTAATTCGTCCACTCCTGGTTTAACCCCTACTACCTGGAGGGGGAGACACAAAATGCTTAGAATGAATGGCTGACCGGAGTTCAGCATTCAGAAGGTAAAGCACATTGAAGATGAGGGAAAACTATGCTGCTGCCGCTAATAAATATAAATGTAACTATACAATGTCAGTTATATTACTGCTTCCTGTTTCTTCATTTCAAACACGACGAGCTTCTGGAGGATTAATGATCAAATTCCAAGGTGATTAAACACAAAGGATCATTCCATAGGATTAAAGACATAAAAAAACTGAAGTCTTGCCATTGTTAACTCCTAAACTATAACTGGCAATGTCCTGATTGCTCCCATGAAATATATCAAAACTAGGGCTGCGGAAATTAACGATTAATTTCTCGATTAATCGTTAAACTTTTTGATCGATTCAAATTCTTTTGATCGCTAATGAAAACACTCACCTCCCTGCCGGCTTCCGGGAGTCCCGTCGGATATTACTTCATTGCTGTGCTGTATGTGTATAGGTCAATGTAGTTGGATCTGTATGTGCGTTATAATTAATCAAAATGAAATTGATTAAAAAAATTTGATTAATGGAACACGAAAATGTTAATCAGTACCAACCCTAATCAAAACCGGAGCAGACAGAATCTGGAGCAGTAGTAACCAATGGGACAGGACAGCCATGTTGGTGTCTATTACCCCTGCAGGGCTCATGTCCACATCAGGATGAATGTAGAGCAGCACCATCTGTGCATCATAGAGTGCGACACACAACAAAAACAATGTATGTTCAGTTTTATATGCGCTGAACTGCTTTAACACAACACATGTGAATGCACAAATAATGCACGGTACCGCAATGCACTGGGCTCTTCAAGTGACCTCTGACCCTCTAAAGCTGAGTGACCTCCGACCCTCTAAAGCTGAGTGACCTCCGACCCTCTAAAGCTTAGGAGTCAGGAACACAAATAGTAAATGAAGAGAAATCCAGAAGTCAGATATGAATCTCTGAGGTGTGTGTGTACGACCAGAACAATTCCAAGAAAACCTTGAGAAGGCACAAAGGCGGCCATTGTAGACGGCCTTCTAAAAATGCTCTCTGCCCAGCTGTGTCTGTCTCAGTCCTTTGAGGCACTGACCCTGAACATACAATCAGAACACTTCTGACCCGCATACTCAGCAGCTGGAGATCTCTGGATGGGACACAGAGGTATATTTAATGCGTTACCCCGTCTCTCTGGAGTTCCCCTTCAAATATGTAATATAATGGGGACAGAACAAGCGGTTTCCGGGGACATCTCCAATGCTGGGAGAGGTCCTGAAAATGAGGGTGACCGGGGAGGTATGGATATGACAGGCCTAGCATACCGTCAGTGAAGACCCACAGTGTAATAGGAACTACAAGGCTTGGTGTGGCCTGACAGTCAGGCTATGCTGGGATTATTACATGGCAACCTTGGCGCTGTCAGTGGCCCCCGGGCCGCCATCTGATTCTAGACTGGAGGGTAGTCAGCGATCCCTAGCGCCCTCTTGACTACTTACGCCTTATCCACCAACTCCCGGACCTTCCACATGTTGAGCATCCTGGCTCCCGAACCGTTAGGCGCGTCATGGTAACAGGGTGACGGGTGCGTGCGTCAGTTTGGGAGGTTAGAGCTCAGGAATGGCACCTGACTGACAACAAAGCTACTCCTCACCTGGATGTGGTCACACTGCATGTTTAAAAGTTTGTCAATTTATGTTTTTATGTGGTTTTAACTAATTGGTAAATCAAAACAGGAGACAAAATCTGCAGCTGTTGCCTATGGCAACCAATCAGCATCTCACTTCAGTTTGTTAAGTTCAGCTTTGAAAATGAAAGGTGGATGCTGATTGGTTGCCATGCACAGCTGCTCAAGATTCTATCTGCTCCACTTTTGATATATTCCCCCCTCTGTGTGGTTTTTTTTTTTTCTTCCAAAGGGGAGCGGCTTGCTTTCAGGCTGCCTCTTTCTAATGGAAAGGATGTATAGTACCCTACAGAGGGGGATGTCTCATTCAGCTGCGTAATCAGTAGCTTCAGCCTAAAAAAAATCGCCCCTTTCTAAGAATAACTTTGGCGTCTTTTGAACATACTGAGGAAGTGTTAACGTGAGAAAAATCCAAACATTTTTGAGTTGTCACTAGAGCAAGAGATGAGGGAAAATCATCCAATGGGGACAAATGACAACTAAGATGGGAATTATTCTTACTTTGGGGAGATTTTCTCTCATTTCTTGTTGTTCCTCCAGGACAGAGGGAGCAAAAAATAACCTGACAGGGGATTTAAACCTTCCCTATCCCCCCAAAAATGTTTGGGCTGTTCATACCCTTTAAAACCCCTGTTACGTATTCATTGCTATTTGTGCCCTCACTGCAGAGATTCAGGCCTCGTTCACACCAGACGCAGTGCGTTCCAGCCCGATTTCTGGCCAGAACGCACTGCCTCGCATTGCGGCCGGCTCACTTTTTTTGTGGGGCAGGAGGGGGCGTGGTGGTCCATTGAAGTGACTGGCACCGTAGCCACGCCCTCCGGCCATAATGCGATTGGCCGCTCGGGAATGCAAGGCACATTATGCCTGCGGTCCGGTCTGGTGCAAACAAAATGCTGCAAGCACTATGTTGTTCGCACCGAGTGGCGTGGCTACGGTGCGATTCACTTCAACAGACCGCCACGCCCCCTCCTGCCCCACAAAAAAGTGAGCCGGCCGCAATGCGAGGCAGTGCTTTCTGGCCAGAATCGGGCCCTGCATCTGGTGTGAACGAGGCATTACCCTCTCTGTTTGTCCTGGTGACCATTGTGTCTGGTACCAGAATCGATGGAAATCCCACATTTTAAGGCTGTTACTGGAACAGGAGGTGAGGGCGAATATTTCATTTGGCACCCCCCCTTTTTCTGGATCATAAGCATGCGTTGCAGTGTGCTGTATTACCAAAATTAATGCAAGCACAATTTTTGGTGCATTAGGCAGCCCATGCAAATGAAGAGCTCTAGCAATGATTCAGCAGGGGGCATGGTTGACCTCAGCAGAGAGACCACTGCTTCTTCCACACAGAGAGCAACGATCCTTCTTTGCAGGATTTTCTCTAAAGAAAACAAAGCAACTGTAAAAACTGTAACATCTGAACAGCTTTGGTTTGTATTTAGCCAATTGAAATGGAAAGTTTTTATCTGGATTGTAAACTGTATTGAAAAGTAAAACCGTTTCAGCTTTGCATTCACTCTGAGGTCTATTTAGAAAAGTAATTGCATAGCTCATCCTTTTAACTGCAGGTACAATCGTTCTGTGCGAGCTAACCAACTGTTATTAACAAATGTTCTTATTGCAGGGGTGGGCAACAGCCCAACAGCTGTTGTGGAACTACAAGTCCCATGAGGCATTGCAAGACTGGCAGTTACAGGTATGACTCCCAGAGGCCGAGGCATGTTGGGATTTGTAGCTAAAGCACAGCTGAGGACAGGAACACTCATAGAGGATTCCTGTTCATTGATTTCGTTTCGGTTTTTAAATTTCTATTTCGGTGCACCTCTAGAAATTACACCAAGAACATCCGTTTTGCCCCATTATCACAACAGCTGGTTATCTTGCACACAATTAATTTACATGCAGTTTTGCTGGACAGAAGATGTGTAATTGTTTTTTTTTTTGACCCCTTTAAAAAAAGAATTCTGCAAAAAAAAAAAAAGAATTTGGCAAAAAAAAAATCTTAACCCTTGCACTGGGGCTACTCCCGCACTGCAAAGGTTAAGTGCTCATTTTGTCTAGGGAGTTAAAATAACAAGGATACTCACCCAAACTGCAATCCCCGCAGACTGCTAGACAGGTCCCATTCAGCCTGTCCCCTCCTCCACTCCAGCGATGGTATGTCCCTTGGCGTCTTCACGTCCAATACGCTATATAGGATGTGATGACACACAGGACCTTAAACCGCTGGAGTGGAGGAGGAGACAGGCTGAAGGGATCGGTCTAGGAGCCAGCCAGGATCATGATGCGGGTGAGTATATCTCTGTTATTTTAGCTCCCCAGACAAAATGAGCACTTAACCTTAACTTGTAGTGCGGGAGTAGCCACTGCAAGGGTCAAGATTTTATTTGCCTGGAGTTCTTCTTTAAGATTGGCCTTGTAAACATCAAATGGACCCTAGAGTGCCACCTACTGGTTGAAATATTCATATGCAGTGTTTCTTATTTAGCTGATTTAAAATGAATGAATTTTCATTTGTATTTTTTTAGTTTGTAGCCCTGACCATAAGAAAAGAAAATCTTTACAAAGCACTATACATTACCTTTCAAGGACATTTGAGCTGAATACTGAGCTTTGCTTATGTAAACACCAGCTGCCTATCTACTTCCATTGGTACCAGTTATGAGGCTTTTTTTTTTACTTTCACTGACACCAATGATAGGACTTGTTTTACTTACACCAACAAAGGGGCTGAGTTTACTCCCACTTTCCTTTCAGTGTAACCTCAGGCCCTATTTTGCCTAAAACATAGCAAAGCATGGAGGGATGATGTGACACTCACAGGGTTATTCACTAAAGTGCGAATAGTTTGGAGAAGGCAGGAGAAGTGAACAATCTAGGACAAAACAGCTGATTTTAAAAAATTATCCGATTCAGCTCACTTTCCAGTTCAGATATGTTGTCCTAGATTATTCACTTCTCCTGCCTTCTCCAAACCCTTCACCCTTTTGTGAATAACCCTGTAAGTCATATACTGTGAAGTGATACCCACTTTATTGACTGCACCCACCTTATGGCCATGCTTCCATTTGTCTGGCTGGAGGTGCACCACATTTTCTTCTTAGACCCTTTTAGGTGTTTCTCCTAATTATTTTTGTCAACTATGCTGCTTTCTAGCTCTAAACAGTCACTTGTTTCTTAAAGCCCAGTTGATGCCACACTTTTTTTGTATCTATTATGTAGTCTGGCTGCATGAAAGGTAAAGAATATGGCACGTCTTTTTCTTCTATACTATGGTAAAAAATGCCGGTGGCACCAGCACATTGAAGAGCCAAGTGACTGTGTTACACAGAAAACAGCAGTTCGGGTCTCCAGCGGTCTGACACGCACCCTGCACAGTGCTCCAATCAACAACGCTGCTCAGGAAACCTGAACATTGTTTATTGCAGCACTGTGCACTGTGTTGGACCACCACCAGGGACCTGGATTGTTGTCCACACAGGCCCCTCTTGAGTAAACTATGTAAATGGCAACTTTTTCCTGGTTGCTGTTGGCAGAGCCATAGGCAGTGGTGTCCCTAGCCTTTTTGCCAGCTGGGGTTGCACAATCATAGCAGCGGGAGGTGGGTAGTGGAGACAGGAAATCTCTGGCCAGCGTTGCGCCCAGCGAATGGCAACCAGTGATGTCACTGGCTGCCAGGAGCTGGGTGGGACACTGGCCAGAACATCCCATGTTGTTAAGAGCTGGGCAGGGAGACTTGTATGGCCCTTACACATTTACCCACCCAGCTCTTGGCAAACTGGGAACCCCCCCCCCCCCCCCAAGTGACCCAAAGAGATGTCCCCTGAGGCAGTAGCCTCAGGATGGCTCATTAAATGGACGTCTCTGGCTATAGGCACTCCAATATGTGACAATGTCTGTGCTTGATGGTTGGTTGCTGACACATGGGACATAGCACCATTGGGTTGGGGGCATCCCTATTCTCCACAACCAGGAATAGAGATAGGGCTAGGGAGAGGGATGGTGCTGCACTATCAAATCAAGCAAGTATAGCTTATCATAAAGCTGATGCTCTCAGCCTTGTCATGCTTATGTTAGATTAGATCATTTTTCATTGCCACGGGTTTGCTTTAAGGTCATATGTGTTGCCATGGTAATTCATACTCAAAGGAGGATATGTTATAGCTGTCATTTCTAATGACAGATGTTTGAGCTGTTACCTTTTAACATCAGTTACAGGCAGTAGAAGGAAATAGGAATTCCTGTTTATATTATGTAGTTATTAAACAATAAGAATATGGCAAAACATCCACATAGTAAATATATCATTAACGTGACACTAAACTCAGGAGTTAAACCTGAAAAATGAATTTGAGAACCCTAACTATTAACAAAAATGTATCTTATTTGTGTATCATTCGGCTGTAGATCCTCAAATCATCTCTGAATTCATGCTGACACTGTCCTTCCTTCTGGAGGGGGGCTACTATTGTTCTTCATGGACCTGCTGCCAGGCTTCCTTGCAGTTTTGCAAGGAAGCGTGAAGCCGGTGTGCGACAGCACACCACCTTCCCAATCAATCAGGAAGCCAGGCGGCAGGTCATGGCCTGCTGCCTGGCTTCCTGATTGGTCAGGAAGTCAGGGCCAATGCTACCTCGGGATGCCGGTATCGGTAAACGGTATCAGCGAGTACCAATAGATAAATATCTGTACTTGATACCAAAGAACCGGTTGTTGAAATACATGTCTGACTGTTGTACTATCCATAACATACTTGCTAACTGTCCCAGATTTGCCACCTTAGAATTAATGGGGGATACTTATCAAAACTGGAGCAGCCCATAGCAACCAATTAGCTCTGTTTTGTTAAGCTTTGCATAATAAAGATGGAA